GTGTGTGGTGTGTGTATATATATATATATATATATATATATATATAATGATAACCATAGCCATACGAATATTATCATTAACGATCATAAAAGAGCAACAAAGACCCAAACAGACAAGCACACGCACACGCACAAATCAAACGAACATAATAACAATAAAGCACCCCTCATACACCCTCCAATATGAAAAAGCGCCTTATGTTTCTCATTTGTCAGGTCTCTCATATGGAAGATCATTCTCTCCTCTAGCATCGGTCATCTAGAACTAAATCCAAATTACAGCTCCCTCACAAAGGCTCCCACGCCAGCATGCTTTGACGCACGCGCCAACGATCCTCTTTTCGACCCTGTTGTGTAAGAAACTTGTCCTTTTCCCACATCTCCCGCATTTGTTGCCCGCGACGAACAGGATCTGACCGATGTCGCAGCGTAGAACCGTCTGGTCCCAAAACAGCGCATAAAGGCGCGCCCAATCCGCCACGGTACTTGTAACGAATATCACCTGTAAAGCTGTAAATTGTGTTTGCCCTTCGCTGACTTAGTAAGACGCGACTAGGGCGTAGCGGCATCTCTGGTGTGGACAGAGGGTGCTGTGGACGACCCTCGTAACACATGGCTAAGTTCCTGCCGCCCTCCTCATGGGAACCAAACTCTGTGTAATCCTCTTCACAATGCTCGTCTTCCTCATCGTCAAGATGTTCGCCCCAAGGCTCGGATAACTCCTCACCGCCGTATTTATTCAAGTATAGGGCCCTCAGTTCCTTTTCATACCGCCCCATATGGCGCCCTAATCGTGCCTGTGGGGTCAGATACGCTGAAGCCAAAGGATGCAGACCACCGCCCCTGATGCCGCCTATCGTGCTAACGCCTCTTGGAATCATAATAGACTCCTTCGCTGAAAGTGGCTTGTTACCTCCCACAGGAAAAGATTGGTTGGGGTCCACACGACGCATATTATGACGATCCCTCCTCATTGACTGTGTACGGCCCTCCACCACAACGCTTCCACCACTGGGGCACGACAGTGGATAGCAGTGTTCTCGATTGGCCCAAGTCGCCGCAACCCGCCCATGTCCAGGGTGCCTCCCAGTTCCTGTTGAGTTCATCGGCGTTGTGCGGCCCCCACGAACAGAGTGGGAGGACAAACCAGGCCACTGCTTTTGTGAGGTGGAGGTCTGTTGCGAACTTCCTTCGTCGCTCTCCACCTCCATGAGTTCATTTTCATAGGGAGCCATGGTCACATCGTTAGCTGCATGTGGTGGGGAAGCGGATGACGGACGGAATCTTTTATTTCTCTGAACAGAAGAGGAGGATTGTTGTCGCTGCCGCTGCCGTTGTTGCTGATACTGATGTTCGGCCTCACTACAACGGGCCTCTCGCACTTGTTGCAATGTTAGAGCAATGTCGTCTGCGGAGGGATTGTGATATCCCAGTGAGAGCAGCACCCGTCGCACCTCGTCCACTTCAACAGCATCCACATCAGTCATTCTGCAACAAAAGACTTCACGGAGGGGAGGAGGATTGTCGTCGCTCGTACTACTAGCGTCTGCGGTGACGCCTTGGTTCTATTCCCGCCCTCAATCCTGCAGCCAGGCTCTCTCCGTATCGCCGAAATATGGGCGAAACAGAAGACAAAAAAAGGAAAAGATGCGTAAGGCAACTGCTTCTACCAGACAGACCGACGAACCCTACTCCTCACTGGATACGGTGGGTCACGGGCAACTAAAGAGGAAATTCTATGCTGGTGGTGTGGGGAAGAGGAAAAAAATAAAAATAAAAAGATGCACAGAACTCTCAGAGAAAGGAAGCAGCGAAGAAAAAAAAACACGCCCTAATGCTCAAGCAGACGCACAGAAAAGGAATGGAAAACCAGGAGGCACTAAAAAGGCATAAAGGTAAAGAGTCGCATGGGCGCCAAAAGAAAAAAAAGCAAAAGGGCAAAAATGCGGTGTTCCGGGAGTAGAAGGAGAAAGGCGACACCAGAATCACTCTTGAACTAATTAACCCTCACAGTAATAAGCATGCATGCGTATATGTACATCTTACACATTCTGAGGCTCGCCTTTTTATTATTATTATTATTTTGTTTCCTCCTTTCGTAATTATTTATTTGTCTCGTTTTGAGTGTTTCCTCACATTTGTTTCGCTCGTCAGTGTGTTCTCTTTGACTTCGTTTTCACCTTCCCCCTCCCCCCATCCACCCGTCGTTTGCGTTTTCTCTGATATCCAAGCAATAAAGGTGGACGTGACAAAACCAGACAATTTTGAGGCAGCGGTGACGGGGAGGAGAAAAACACGGCTGTACACAACTTAACTGTGCGCGTTTGCGTGCGTGTCAACTCCTGTCATTTCCTTTAGGATGTCACTATGAGGTACCATCAATAATGTTTCTCCTCCTCTTTATTAACGAGTCTTAACACGCGTTTAATGTTAATATTAGTGTTATTACTTTCTCTGGTGGTGGTTCCCTCCTGTTGTCCTCAGTGCTGTTTTGTTACTCCTCTCTTCGGCAATGACAACTGTGTCTCCTACAGAACCTGACACCTTCCGCCCTCATTCTTGTCTTTTGTTTTTCTTTGTTTCCACTCCCTCCTTCACTCACTCCGTAGGCTTCTGCCTACCTCCTTGCAGTGCGTGCATGCGTCCGAGTACAGCAGGAGGAAAAAAGAAAGTGGAATGGTGGAGAGGAGGGGACGTCAGCACACGGAAGTCCGTTCTTGTGAGACGACTCCTTAACTTTTCATTTTCACACTTTATCCGCTTCCTCTCGATGGCCTGCAAAAAAGATGAAATTTCCGTCCGGTCACTTGTGTTGTTTACTGCGCCTCTGTTTAATTCACTCTCGCTCTCGCCCCACTCATACTGCATTGCAACACGCTCACACAACACGATTGCGTTACTTCTCCAACAGCACCGTGTGACTGCCAGCAATTGGAGTCCTTTTTTGTTATGCTGTGCGTTTTCTGCTTCTTATTCGCCATCTCCTCCACCCCCTTTGCTTCCTCGTTATCCGGCGCCTCAGTTATTGCCCGCCCACGTCACAAAAAAAAAAAAACATAAACCGGGGCTTCACACGAGGCCTTCGCCGCATGCACGGAGGAGAAAGCAGTCAAGTGGAAGGCTGCCCACCACCTCCCATCCCCTTCTACCGTTCCTTGTTGTTGTTGTTTTGGCCTTCTTGATATTTCGCCTCTTTTCGTGTTTTTGATTTTCATGCTTATGGACCTCACCGTTTAATTCCTCTTTTTTCCCCTCTCCTTTTTATTTGCATGCTTTCTTTGCACACTGCGTCCACCCACGATTTGCGCTCCGCCTTCTGGGCAGTCGCCGGGCCGCGTTTGCATGCAAGCAGATGAGCCGAAAGGTACTCCTCTCCTCCTTCGTTTGTTTATCTTTTTGGCGTGTTTGTTTATTTTCTTCATTAAGAGGGCGGCGGGTGGTGGGTCAAGTTCATTCATATGTATATATTTTTTATTATTATTTTCTGTTCGCCTATTTGACTCCTCGTGTTCGTTAAGACGGCAAAGCAAAACGGCATGCGGAAAAAATTCATTTTTTCTTCTTTCTTATTCTTACTTTTTTTTTGGCCGTACTTTTTTAATTTATTTTTTGTTTTTTTTTATTTTTGCATATATTTTTTTGGGTTTTTTCTTCTTTTCGTTGAGGCGGCGTTGGACATATTTTTTTTTAGTTGTTTAAAAAAAAAAAAAAAAAGAAACACCACCGCGATTCCCGCCGCCTCGGCGATGTCAGACTTCCCCTTGTCGCTTCATCTCCATGGAGATAAATAACATATTTTCCCCTCGCTCTATCTGCTTAGACGTGTTAGTCTGTCCTACCGCTTCCTCTGTGTGTGTGTGTGTGCGTGTGTGTGAGAGAGAGTTACTCGCCAAGGTATGCGGCAAAGTCCACCGGCAACTCGTCAATCTGCGTGTGGTAGTGCGACTCAATCTCGCGTAGTACCTCCACGTCCTTTTGCGTCACAAAGTTGATCGCCACGCCCTTGCGACCGTACCTGCCACCACGACCAATACGGTGCAGGTAGTTCTCCTTGTTGGTCGGCAGATCAAAGTTGATGACGATATTCACGTGGTGCACATCAATACCGCGGGCCACGAGGTCCGTTGTCACTAACACGCGGGAGCTCCCGTTGCGGAAGGTGCTCATGACCCTTTCGCGGTCCTGTTTAGGCATCTCAGAGTGCATGCAACTGACGGTGTGGTTGTTCTGGTTGAGCTGCTGTGCGAGCCAGTCCACCTTACGACGGGTATTGGCAAATATCACACTCTGCGCAATGCTCACAGTCTCGTAGAGATCCATGAGTGTGTCAAGCTTGTGCTCCTCTTCCACCGCAATAAAGTACTGTTTGATGCCCTCAAGGGTCAGGCTCTCGCGCTTCACAAGAATACGCGTTGGCTCGCGCATGAACTTCTTCGTCAACTCCAGCACATCATCCGGCATCGTGGCGGAAAAGAGAGCAACCTGAATCTCCTTCGGCAAATAGCGGAAGATGTCATAAATTTGTTCAGCAAAGCCCTGAGAAAGCATCTCATCAGCCTCGTCAAGGACAAGGACACGAAGGTACTCTGTGCGCATCGCACCACGCTTTGTCACATCCACTACACGTCCGGGCGTTCCAACGGCCACAATGCTGCCGGCCTGGAGTTTGCGGTAGTCGTCCTGCACTCGTGTTCCACCAACAAACGTCGCACAAAACGCCTGGTTCCCCTCCGCAAGGAATTCGCCAATGCGGGTGATAACCTCCGCCGTCTGCAAAGCCAATTCTCGTGTAGGGGAAAGCACAAGCCCCTGAAGAACATTGTGGCGAAAGTCAAGGCGCTGTAAGAGACCAATGGAGAACGCGCCCGTCTTTCCAGTTCCGGACTGCGCCTGCGCAATGATGTCGCCGCCACGCGTGAACGGAACAATGGCACGCTGCTGGATGCTGCTGGGCTTTTCAAAGCCATGGGAGTAAATGCCACGGAGGAGATTCTGGTGCAGCGGCATGTCGTCAAATGACGGGATCGGACGAATTCCGGGCTGGTCATCCAAGAAGGAGTCCTGGTCCTGTGGCTCGACCTTGCCTTGCTGGGCCATTGTTCCCTTAAAAAAAAAAACTGGTTGGTTCGCTGAAAAAAAACTGCCGTGACGGAGACGAGGAGAAGAAAAAAGAGAGCGAAAAAAAAAAGATGAGATAACCAAAGACATCGTTGTATGCGGAGGACGAGGAAGAAGACAGAAAAAGGAAAAGGAAAGGGAAACACACAGAATCAGTGCTGGATCCACTTCCTCTCTCGCCTCATTGCGCCCTAGACGCACAAAGACGAGAAGACCTTTGGCGCATCGTGTCCTCCGCCTCCTCCTCGTCGAACGGTTCCCCGCGCGGCAGCACCCAACAACCTAAGCAACAGCAGCAAGAACGGGTTGCAGCGGGCGAGAGAAGCGCCAAAGCAGAGCAGCTACACGTTTTTCCCACCTTCGTGTCCGTGGGGCACAAATACACCTGGCGGGAGGGAATCTTCACCGCCAAGGCGGAATTCGTGCCACCATCGCGCCGCAGATCGCACAGGCGAACAAACGGCCCAACAACCGAATAATCCTCAACGGAGATTAGTTCCGGCAACTCGCTTGGGCCTCCCACTTGGCAGTGCGATTCAAACCTATTTCCGTGACCAATGCGCTGCACGTTTGTAATACGCGAAAAGGATTTGAAGTGGTTGTATGGGCCAATGGACATGGGCAAAGCAGAAGATGCAGCTGTGGCCACGGTGGCCACGTCCTTCCCGCTCCGCTCACCATTAATGATGCAGGCGTGCTCCTCTACAATACAGTAGACACCAAAGTGGATCGGTCCACGTTGAGCAATGATCACCGCAAATGGGTGCACAACACATCCGATAGAGAAATGTACAGGGTGAGGCCCCTCCACCACCGCTAGTGGACTGATGTAGTTGTCTAGAAGTCCCCCCCTCGCTACGGCGGCCATGGCACTCTGTATTGCTCTCGAAGAGAGTATGAAAGGGAGCAAGTACGGAGGTGGCGTCAATGGGGACACGGCGCGCCCGCCCCTCACGCACCGTTGAGGCAAACAAAAAAGCACACGGACGCGCGCACGCACACGCACACACACAGAAGAATGGAAAAGAAAACAAGACGATACAAAAAGGGAGGTAGAATCAAAAAAATACTAAATCGCAAAGAGGCAAAGTGCGCAAGAACAGAGAATCAGGCGGCATAGATATCCAACACGCAATTTCATTCACATCAAATGTAAGTGCGTGTGCGATTCTTTGGAGAGAAAACAGCAGCCAGTAGGCAAAAATAAATATAAAAATAAAAACGTAAGTGCAAAGGTAAAAAAAAAAGGCTGCCAGTTCATCCCCTACATATGAAGAGAAATAAAGATGAGCCTGCGCCTGAAATAAGGTCCAGGCTCCCTTTTTTTCTGCAGACTGTGAGTGCACCAATAGGAGAATAGAGTCTGTTTCCGTGCGCGTTCAACGCCCCCAATGAAGCGTGAATTCCTCCCACACATCAACAACAAAAAAATAATAATAATAATTCAAAAGGCCAATGAATTTGATTACCGGGCTCTCCCTTCTGAAACGCGCAACGCGGCAACCTGTGCCCCTTCCACACCCACCCAATCGCCGGGCTCCCTTCCGCGTGGAAAGTGCCGGTAAGTGAGAGAAATGTAAATTAGAACAACAATACAAAAACGGATATACACCTCTATTCAAGAGCATGCGCTCTCACAGACCCGCCTCCTTTGCTTCCGCTCCTGCCACGCCAAAACCTTTAATCGTCCGCTCTCAGGCAACACTACCCAACGTCGCATCTTCGGCAGCAGCCACCCACGGGGCCCGCAGCAAGGCGTGTGCGCCTCGGCGCTCTTCCGGGTTCCATTGCAGGCACCTCCTTAAGAAATCTTCAAACGCAGTCCCCTCCTCCTTCCCCAGCCGCTGCTGAATTTGTTTCCGCAGCCTCATCCAGGCCGGAGTTACCCCACGGCAGCAACATTGGACCGTCGAAACGTGTCGCTCAGCGGTGCCTCCATTTAACGAGACATCTACGGACTTGGCCTTGTGTGCTACTTCCGAGAACTGCTCGGAAGCATCACCGCCAGAGCAAGCACACGAAAAAAATGATTTCATTTCATTGCTATCATTACAATACAGCAGCATTTGCTCAGATTTACTAAGGAAGATAAACCGACCATGAGAATCAAAAAAATCTCGCACATATTCACCCAAAGGTGTAGCAAGAATATAGCGCGGCGCAGGGGGCCCAAGAAGAAATATCATGCTACGCAAGTGGTACACGTCAATGTTCTTTTCACGAGCATCGAAGTGACCAGCACGACACCAAAAATCCTCGTCACCACGCTCATTATCATGCTCCACAGAAGCGGAGCCCGCTTCATTAGTTCCTTGAAATTCATCAGCAATGGAAGGATTCTGCTCTTGTTCTTTTGGTGTCCTTGCCTGCTGCTGCTGCTCCTCCCGTTCTGAGGCCTCCATAAAATCCCGAACACAATCAAAAAGAAGACGACCAAAGACAAGCTCAAAAGCAATGCAGGCCACAGACCAAATATCCAAAGTTGCATTATAGTCCTTCCCCAATATGATCTCTGGAGAGCGGTATTCTCGTGACTGAAGCGACACACCACGCTTATAGCATTGTCGTGATAAAAGATCCCGCTCCAAGTCATCCACAAGGCTCGTTGTGCACACGGATGAGGAGGGCAAGCGTAGGGAGAACGCAAAATGACGCGATAGTTCGAAACTCGAGCTGCCTCCTTTGGCTCCAGACGAATCAATTCCTGACATGCTGAGGGAAGAACAACTGTCACCGATGGGTAGACTGTTAGTGTTGGCGTTGGGCACAGCCTCATCTTCCACTGTTTCCCTAAATTTCCTGCAGCTGGTTGACCCATCCTTGAGGATGGCGCCATGGCCCTGACTCGAACAGGGAGGCAGCATCATGGCGTGGTCAAAGTCAACCAGTTGTATCGCGTACGGGGAGTTCGCTCTTGCCCAAGACGGACCCGCTCCCTTAAACATCTCACAAGCGGTGTTGCAGGTACTTCGACTGCGCCCCGTGCGAGGGGTCCCAACGATATTTAAAAATGGCTGCGGTGACACGACGGGGCTCCCGCCTGCTCCAGTTCGTGAGGAACAAGTCGTGGACTCGCGATCGCGCGACGCTGGCAACTTTGGCCCGGTCGACACAGAATCACCAACGTGTTCTGTAAAGAAGGTTTTTAGGCCGCTTCTCGCGTCCGCTTCGCAGTCCACAAAAAAAATATTTGCAGGCTTAATGTCTGTGTGAAGAATATGCATCGTTGCAAGTAATGCAAGGCTCTCCAACACTGAGCGAATAATACTACTGGCGGCACTTACCAGTGCCCCCCCAGGCCCGCACTCACTTATGACGGTGTCCAGAGAAGCCTTCATCACATCCATAACAATGCAGTGATGCACACCAAATGTACCTTGGTGAGTAAATCGGTCCCGCATAGAGGACAGATGGCCTGCTGCAAATGCTCGGGTCTTCTCCTCACTGTTACTTTGAAAGCCGCTTTCAAAGTAACAGCCGCAGCCAAAGAAGATGGCAGGCAAACCATCCCCGGTCGATGCTGCTGACAAGGAGTTCACGGTGGAGATCTTACGTGATTCCACACCGTGGCAAGGAATGGAAACATGCCGTTGTAGCCGCACTGCATTTTTAAATTCCCTAATGTACGTCAACATCAACGCCTCACGTTGGGCACGTTCCTCATACATCGAACCGCAACGGAACACCTTAATGGCAACCAAGAATGGTTGATCCAAGGTTGAAAAATGCTTGTGCGTGTGATGTTCGTCAAGTTCACAGATGAGCTGACTGCGGGAAACAGTGCACTGATATAGGTCCACTGCAAGCCACACACAACTACTGCGACCGCGGCCCAACTGACAGACCAATGCAAATCGATTTTGGAGAACGTCACCCGGAACACAGGCGAGGTAGCCCTCTTCCCCAAAGTGTTTTGTGTCCCCGACATCATCTCCCTCGTCTTCATCCTCTTCCACTTCGAAGCACTCCTCGTCGTTCTTGTGAGAATTATCCCGTGCAGAAGAATACTCAAAATGAAAAGTTCTGCCGGAATGCTTGGGGCGTGCTGTCTCCTTTATCATAGGCATAGCATCCCCCTCATCGCTGCCGTCCTCGTCGTCCAGAGACTCGTTACTATCGCACCAAACCAGTCGCCGGCGACATCCCATGTACCCATTGCTGGCAGCAACAACAGCAGCCTGTGTCTCCCATTGACGCACAATAGCAGTAAGGCCGCTGATGTGAGGAATGGGGACTGACTCGCCATTGTTGTTGTCGTAGATGGAGTGCGTGGGCCTGATCTCATCCTCGCCAGAGAGCAGAGAAGTTGACGTTGGCACTCTGTGGTCGTTAGCTGCACGCCTTGTCGACCGCCCACCCCCACTGTCGGGGGTGACAGCCTCAGTACTGCCACATACGCTGCGTGCAAGTAACAAAGACGCCCTTTTTCCTCCGCCGCCGTAAACATATGCCCTTTCCCGCTCCCGTACCGATCGAATTTGTTCCATCGCTGGCCCCAGCGCACACGCGGCACCCAAGCTGCCAGTTGTGCTCTCGTCAGCTGTGCGCCACACCTCGAGCCAATAATTCGTGTTAGGCAGTGGCAGGCCCTGAGTCTGCGCTGGCATCACCCCGAGTCCTCCTCCCCTCTCACCACGCAGAGACACCAACACGCTGTTCCCTACGAAAGCCTCTGCTTGAGTGGCGCAGCAAGCGGCAAGAGAAAGAGAAAAACAGAAATAATATGAAGATAAAGTATTCTTTTAAGCCAGCAAATATTTGGGTTCAATGTATGTCCTCTCACCTCACAGACGCAGTTCCAAAGGAAGGAGCGCAGTTTCACTAACAATAAACAAAACGGGGTAAAAGATGAATATGGGGATAAACACGCAAATTATATGCATATGCCTGAGGGGAAGTAAGCTGAAGAAGCAAGCTGCACACATCAATAACGTCGCTCTCCAGTCATTCATGCGTCATCTCCGGTCCGCCTTCAACCCGCCTATCCTTATCCTCTTGTTATCCTAAAAGCGGCATGCCCCATTGCATGCACAATGAGTCTGCAGGGTTTTATATGCGGGGTGAGGTCCCATGGGCATACACTATATATTTGACAGGTCGTGTCCTAGTGAGCATATTCACAGTTCCGCGCACTAACTCCAAGCTTCCATGGCGCTTAATCTGCAGCCACTTTAGCGCTGTGGAACTAAGTCAATGCGCTTGTAGTTTCCTCCCTTCATGAACTTGAATCACACACGGCACATACGTGTATTCACAGGGTCCAAGTCACCGTACTCCCCATGGAAGAGATCCGTACAGGCAGGGGTTTCAGTTACACCATCATAAATAACGTACTTATTCGTGTGATCATCGCCAGCAACTCGCACAAGATTGATATTGGGTGTAATCTGGTGTTGAGACACGTCACCAAGCGCATGGACGCGAGGCGAGAATCGCACTTCGTCGTCAACGTCCTGCCAGCTGACAACAGGAGTATGTTGAAGGAATACTATGCAGACGTCGCCCCTGTCTACATCTGTGGCGGTGGCAGAGACAACGTCACCAACCTCCTCCGCGTTGGAGGACTCACTCGTCTCCACCTCAGGAAAGGAGAGGACTTTGACACCGTTGCTCATATCCATGCACCCGCCCACACGCTGCTCCTCCATCTGTTGCAGTTGGTGCGATGCGCCACAATGGAGTCCGTCTCCACTGCAGAGAATATATGGGCGTCCGGAAACGCTTCCGCCCACATATTCACGCTGCCCCACACTTGCCGTGTAGGAACAACAATGGTTTTTACTACACGCTCTTCGTCATTTGAGCTTTTGTAAAGTCGCGCTAAATGTCTTTGGGTCGGTTGCGATAGGATTGTAAAGAACCGTGTGGGCACCGTCCCGCTCAACTAATCGGCGTGTCTTTTCCAATGCGCCCCGCTCATCCCCAGCGGCATGGCTTTGGCGCGTGTGTGAGTGCAAAGAGAAATTCGGGGCAAAAGTGAACCTACCACTATCGCTGATGTTGATGTGGCGTTGTTTGGCCGCCGCCTTTCGCCACCGGTGGCGCAGCGCGCCTTCCTCCCATACCGCAGCGTCTTTTCCGAGGCGTTGCTGCCACTCCTCCCGCGCAGCCGCCTCATCCGTGTCGCTTGTGAAGGTTGACATTTTCCCTTTCGTCTCGACCATGTATGTAGTCCGTTACAAACACCATTTGTGTTATCTAGCTTGCTGCCGTCGTCCTTCATGAAATGCACCCCCTTGATGATCTTCATCGCGCTTTGGCACTCCTCGGTGAGGTGCAGCTGCGGGGGGAAGGCTGGGAGGGATCACTCTGCTTCTCAATGAAGTAAGGGTGACTGTACACGTCGGTGGGTCATTTGCCGCGAAACAGCACCGCCAGCGCGGCGAGCCCCTGTGGTAAAGTCAAAAATCCACGAACGATAAATATGTTTGGGTTATGCACGTCAGTGATGAGAGTGAAGTTCCTTCGCAGTTGGTCCTGCATCATGTACGCGGCCGTGGGCATCATATTCCCCCCTCCCCACCACCCACGCGATAGTCAAAGCCCTCGTCACGCCATCAAAACCAACCTCCCCCCGCCGGACCAACAGAAGCCACAACACGGCGTGTGTGCAACAAAAACTGAGCACGCGCACATGCACCGACAGCGATGATTTCTAGCCACGGTACTCTACATAAAAAAAAAAAAAGACACGAAGGAAAAGAAAGAACGCGTGTTTCACATGTATTCCACTTTCTCACCTCCAGCATAATGCCCCATTTAGAGGAAAAAAAAAAAGTACTACAACCTTCCGCATTAGTTCCCCCTTCCCCACCCCTCCCAAACTTATATATTCGTTTTTATAATTGCATGTCTATGGTGTTTCTTATTATTTTTATGTGTCATTGCCGTTTTGAAAAACTGCAAGTCAGCATATATGCGGAAGGTTTAACGTGACGGAGAGGCCACAACCTCATATAGTGCCACCAGAAACACCCACATGGAGTACACCTCACTGGTGTATCCCTTGACGTACACGCCAATCGCAAAGCTAACTGCATTTGTGCCCACCTCATGCACTGCAGTCTCGAACACCTGTTGCAGGATACATTGATAGGCTGTGTCATGGGGTTGATAGGCGGCATTCACGGGGCTTCCCATAATGCAAAGATGGGGCCTTCCTACCTTCACTCTCGTGTCGCCATCGGCAACACGACCCCGCTCCTCCCCTTCTCGTTGGCGGCGTCGCAAACGATCCTTGAAGAGGTCTTCCCTAAAGTACTCATTCAGCATATCTCTAGCTCGCATTGTCACAGCCTCGTGCCGCACACTGGCATGCCGGCAGAGTTCATCCTCGGCATCCCTCAGAAACACCTGGAGGATTGGAGCAACACCGTGGTGAAAGGCAAGATGTCGGTTGTTGCGCCACCCAACCAGCGCACGACGGACGGCCTTGCGCAACTGCTGCTCAATCTCCCGCTCCTTCCGAGGCTCAGGTATTGAAAAGGGCAGTGTCTCCCGCTGCAAGGGGGCAATAAAGGGCAAACAGGCCCTCACATTCTCGTCCTCGTGATCAAAGCATGGCAGCCAAAAATGCCGGTCGTTTAGGTCCCACTCCATCCGGTGTGGGGCCCCACTCAGCTGCACATTCGCCCACAGCTGATTGTGCGACGCCACCATGTGTACGTCACGAAAAAATGTGAGGTGAGGGTTGTGGACCGGGCACACCCAGCCTGTGCGTGGGTCAATCAGGCGAAGCTCACCAGCAAAGGAATGCAGAACCACCACCACGTGATGATGAGTGACACCTCTCCCTGTCACCACGTAGGTCACCTCCCCTGGCGCAAGAAAACGCAAAAAATGCGCCAGCAAGAGGGAAAGCTCCTCGTAATCACCTTCTCGTACGCGAAGAAACTCTGCGTTTGTGCTCCACACATCATTATCACCCCATGTAAGCGGGTCCGTCTGAAAAGGCAACAATGACACAAATCGAATAGCCTCTTCAACTGTTGTTACGCTTAGTGGCGGTGGACCCCCATTCGCAAGAAGGTAACGACACACTAGAGTGAAGTCCCCTGTTGTGCAAAATACAAATGGCTCAATTTCCCGCATGTGAGCAACAGGATTCACTGAGGAGAGACGCTTTATTGCTATCAAAGCATCACGTCTCCACTTCATTGCAATCCCATGTAAATACTGCAGCTGTGCTGAAACATTCAACTGTTTTAGAAGCCGTGAAATGGTGGCGTGGTCAAGTTCCCTGCGTGTGGTGCGGCCAAGTGGCGGCCACAGCGCAACGTACAATTGAACCGACGGGGGTGAGTGAATCGCTGCGTCATAATGCAACCTTGTGGGATTCATGGCGGCGCCAGTGTCGCGTCCATCTGGAGAGTACCCCAGCACCCACCGCGGAGTGGAAAGGGAGAACTGTCCCTCGACACGGGCCTGATCAGCCTCGTAGAGGGTAAAAAATGGCAGACGCAGTATCCCCAGTAGGCGACGCTCTGTTCGGTAGTGCGTCTCATGGGAAACAACTCCAGCGAGCAACGAGGTTGGGGTCATCGGAATCTCAACCTTATCGTACACGGATATCACAATGTCGTCCTCAATGAGGGAGAGGGTCTCGTCGTCAAGGTCGGGTGGGGAAAAGGGAATGTTGAGGGTTTCAAACCACGAGGGGGAGCTGCCGACCTCGCTGCGCGAGACGACAGTTTCATAGACAAATGTGACTTCCACAAAGGGCTCCAGTGGTGTACCATCCAAGCGCTGCGGCAGCGCTGTCGCCTTCATGATGTGTACAACAATGCGGGTGCCTTGCTGCATCACGAGGCCCTCGCGACCCATTTTGTTTATCTTCGGCCGCTCCTCACGCCGAGGGTTTAGTTGACTTTCCGGGGTCAGGCGGAAGCCCTTCACTGGGCGCAGCTTCGGTAAAATAACGTGCCGCTCCAGAATTTCATGATCCTCCAGCTTGCGGGAAGAAAGACGACAAGCCTTGCGGCGGCGCATACGTTGCTGCCACAGCTGCAGTTTGCCGTTGCGTGAAAGTGGGCTAAGAAGGAGTGCTCTGGGGGACAGATCCACCTCCAAATCAGTAAGCAAAGGAAGATCTGAGGGCAACTCAAACTTCAACTCACGTCTTTCGCGTGCTGCAACACGTGTTATACGCTGCTGCAACTCATAGCATTCCGAGTCCTCTAGCGGAATGGGCACCTGGAAAAGACGGGCCTCTACCACATCTTTTGGGGTGGCATGGGCCGTGTAAAACAGCCAGCGTCGGTGAAGCAGCTCCAACCGTTTACTCTCATCCTCACCTTGCAGAGAAAGCGGCGGTCGACCGGGGATGGATTGACGTTTCCCCTGCCTACGTATCTTCAGTGCCATGCCGTCGTCGCTGGATCCTGGAAAAACAGCCTCCGTCCCTTCAGACAACGCCGTCGCGTTTCGTCTCAATTTCACGTAGTGGGCCTTAAGGGTGGCCAGGAACGGTTCATACTGCGGATCCAACGGATCTAACTCACCGTGCAGGAAGCGGTCCTCAATTTCCTCGATAGTCATTCCTTGTATCGTCGTCCACGTTGTCGAGAGTGAAATGATGCCTGGCAAAACGCCGCTTCCGTGCTTGCCGTACGTCGTGCCACGGTAAGAAAAAGAAATCGGGGCCTGCAACGGCAGCAACAGATGCACCCGAGTGAGTGCAGGTGTAACGCTGACGGTAGCAATCACGCAATCACCATCCGACCCACCTACTGAGAGAATATGCAGGAGTATCTCCTGGGGCTCCTGCAATGTGAGTAGTTCAAAGGTTTCATTAAAAAAAACTACCTTTGACGAATTCAATGCACGTGGGGCCGTACTTCCCATAAACTGTGGAGTAACCGCAACATTAGTGCGAGCAAACACGAACACCCTAAAAGTGGGCAATTTGCCTTCTTGCAGTCTAGACGACGACATCAATAACTGCGGGGACGGCGGGGACGCCCCGCCACTCTCCAAATGCATCCCTCCGTTAACAGGTACTTGGGATGATGCAACCACCCCCTCAATGACCGGCGTATAATCTAATAAATTTTCCTCCTGAATGGGAAGCACAATCGTCCCCTCGCTATGGCGCCGCAAGTACATGCGGAAAGGCGTCGCTGACAGTGGTGTCTGAGGTCCCGGGCCGTCACTCAACAGGGACATAGCTCCATCAGAAAGGCCTAAGAACCCTCGCCGTAATCCAAACCCCTCGCCACTGTCATTTTGCGATGGCCAATAGGAGGAAGAAGCGGCAGTGACCTCGTGCAAACCTGCCCCTGCATCGGGCTGCTGAAATGGGACAAAACACCCGTTTGGATCTTCACCACGCAGTCGCGCCAGTTGCTGCCAGGCAGACACCATCGCCTTAAGGTACACACGTTCAAGCTCACAGGTGAGATTTAAAAGCTGCCGCAGTGAGTCTTTCAAGTGTTCCTGTTCTTCCGTCAGGCGAGGCTGCTGCTCCAAGTTCTCTAGTTGAGCCTTGTAGAACTGACGGTTCTTAAGCTGCGGCAAAAGGTTCAACTCCACCATACGATACTGCTCGTAGCTGTCCAAAATTTTAGAAACAAGTTTGTCCTCCTGCGTGAAGCTTATCCATGGCTTGGTACTGCCGTGGTAGAGGGGCTGGTGAAGGCCCGCGGAGGACACTAATGAAGTGTTTGTCATGCCCGCAGTGTAAAAAGGCCCAGCCTGCAAAGTTGATGCCGCACCTTCTCTGGAAGCTTCACCGGTATGCTGCCACGCAACCGCTACAGTGGGGCGAAAGCGGATGTAATCAATATGAATAAAAAATGAGTTACTCTTCCTAGCGGCTCCTCTCGTTTCGCTCCACTGGAAGTCTTCGCTAGAGCGGGGCACAAATACGGCGTTTGTGTTGTACATAGGACGAACATTCCCATCCGTGATGTAATCCGCATGAATCCATGGTGTCTGCGCTCGAAATCCGTCGCTTATAAGTTGGGCTCGGTTTCCGTGCAGATGCCTTGGCGATGCAAAGTTGTCCATGAGAATGGACTTCCGCACGACGGATGCATGCAGACGTTGCACGGCCGGGCACAACAAAACGCACTGTGTCCCGTCGTACCCGCCAGTGTCGGGAATACCCAAAAGCTTCATCGCCGCCCCTTCGGCACCGTCAGCCAGCATTTCAAGTAATTTCTGGTGTCGAGCCGTGAGAGACTGCGAGAGTTGGTGCGTCATGCGCTTCGCGCTACCGACATACAGCCACGGCGGCACAAGTTGCGCCAACGTTTCCTCTCCAACAGGCTCTTCAGCCGCCCTAGTGATGACTGCCGTCTCTTCACCCTCCAAAAGTGGCGGAGGCGACAGCAGCGTCATTTCCTGCTCTTCTGCTTCTTTTGTATCTTCGCTTTCAAGACGCTCAACCACTCTCGCGGAGGGTCGACAAAACCCACCGTCCTTGCCCTCCGCAACCGCCTGCTCGAGGGCCTGCGCAGCTTCCACATCGGCAGCTAGCTGATCCAGCGCCAAGGCCGCCACGCTATCACTCGACCTTGCCCGCAGCGATGTGCTGTTCAGAAACAGTTTCAACTCCGTCAACCGGCGTAGCCACCAGGGTGGCCGTGATCTTGCGGAGGCGTCGAGCGTCCGCAGACATGTCACTCCATCCGCCGCCTCCCGCATCGCCTTGACCTTCATGAAGAGTGTACCCGGGTTTTCGGGGTCATAGTCCGCCGCGTTTGTATCGAGCGTCTGATCTTCCGCCGCCCCTGCGGTGTCAAAAGGCAGAAGAGACGCTCGGGCCTCACCGCCGCCGTCACGCGCCCCCCTCTTCTTTAATGCGGACCGCGGTGCCCCCACCTCGTTGGCATTTGATGTGCCCACCTTGTTGAACATGGCCGTCCCTCAAACTGCAGCTGCCCTGCGATGGAGACAGCCCTCTCCCTGTCTTACACACTTTTTATTGCCCTTGTCTTTTTCTTCTTCTTCGTCTCTTTCCCTCTCCTTTTGCTCCTGGAGACAAGTCTTTTCCCCTGCGAGAGTCACAATGCACCACCACAACTCCTGCCTCCACGCACCCCGCCCCCCCTCCCCCGATCACTGTGGTGTCTATGTATGTGCTTAAAATATTCCGGTCCAAAAAGACTACAGAGAGGCCAAATGATACAGGGATTTGGGGTATGTATGTTAGTGGGCGTTCGTAGCGGCCTCTCCGTAGTTTATTTTGATGTTAAGAAACAACCCAGGAGAACAAAAAACGAGGAGCATAATAACAGCAATCACGCACACACAAAGAAAAAAAAAAAAATTAGAATGTAAAGCTGCCCATTGTTGGTGGGCATCCCTTCGTGTAACGGAATCGCCGCATATAATGGGAAGACAGGGCTAGTCATATGCGTCAGGCAGACACATATACACCACTGCCCCTCCTTTTCAACCTCTTTGAAAGGTCACGACAAAAACAGATCCTCCGTCGTGGGTTCACTCCAACTCGCAGGCTCCTCCTCAGCTGCCGCAGTGTCTGTCCTCAACGGCGCTGCTGCCGCAACTATTTTTTCACAGTCATTGCGTGTTGCAGTCTCCTGAGGTCGCTGACGCCCTGTCCGGACCTCGGCGAGCATAGCCTTGTGCTGCGTAAGGCGATCCAAGAAATCCGCGTCCACCTTGTCGCCGTAATAGTGACGCAAGCACCGCACCAAGGCATCAATATGCGGCGACTGAAGCTCCTCCACCCGGCCCCATAACGCCGTCAACACCGGTTGAAGAAAGCGCCGATGCGGGGCCAATGCACACGACGTCGCACCTGCAGTGTCATCCGTTTCCTTGTCGCAGTCATCGTCCTTATCACCCCTCGTGATATCTGTCCTATCATTTACTATGACTTCTTGCGTCAGCAGCGGCGGGGGTGGAAAGTGGAAGCAGAGTGCCATTGTCAAATCCACCAACTCGGCAACTGGCAATACCTCACAGGACCGTCGCGTCAGGCGCGCTGCAGACGCCGTAGCCACCGCCTCGTCTCGCACCTCACACTGACACAGTGCAATCAGAAGATCCGCAAACAAGTATCTTGGCACTCGCGATACTGAAACATGCACCTGTGGAGCCCACTCGGCGCGCTGGGTCCGTAATGTGTTCGCATCCCTAGCGGTTGCCTCATCCTCATACATATGAAGGAACAGCTCCCGGCAGCCATCATACGTGGCGTGAAGAAGTGTGCGATTCACAGGATTACACAGCCATAAGGTGCGGCTACAGTTGGACTTCTCCTCAATTGCCTTTGCCGCGGTGAAACAAGACAATAGGGCCGGCATGAGATGGAGTACGTCAATTGGATAAAGATCCTTGATCACGGGGCGAGTGCGCAGCAGCACCCAAGGCATAAGCGTATCATTGACTTTCTCCTGCCCTGCATAAATAAGAGTTGTGAGGAGAACAGCAAGCGCGCTTGGCGTGCATCCAGCAAGGATATTATCCATGCACGCCGCCGGCGTTGGCGGTGGTGGTGTTGCTATTAGTGGTCCACGCATAGCAGCAGTGTCATTGGCCTCTGGAGAGACAACAAGACTTTGATAGATGGCCCAGAGGCGATGCAGCAGCACGGAAAATACAGGACGATCCCTTCCATCTAGAGCTGCAAACCCATTAAAAGCCAAAACAACATCCCCTGCCTCCAGAGACGAGGCTGCCTCTTCCACAAGACGCGTCCGAAGCTGCTCCCATACATCGCGGAACACACTTCCATTGCCGTGCGGTCGCCGTGTGAACTCATCTGCTATCACGTGAAAGGCAGGAAGAAGCAGTCGCCATGGCCCCTGGCGCACATCTGCAAGAAGCACACGGCAAAGACGGGAATACAGGTGCGGGAAGAAGACATTGGAACACTGCAGGGCAGTAACTAGCGGGGTCACCGTGTCCAAGGGAACAGTGTCTTGTAGTAAAAGTTTACTCGTCTGCTTCAAAATGGCTTGCTTCGCCAAGGCGCACTCACGGCTGTAATCGTCATGCGATAAAATGTTCAACAACATCGCCGTCTGCACAATGTCCAGCTGGCGGGCGACGTCAATGGCTGTAAAGCGTGAAAACCAACGCTGTACCGAAAGCGGATCCACCGTCTGTGGTATCTGCGATGTCAACGACACCATACCCCGCACAAGCCACGGAACCTCCAATGCCGAGGCAATGGCGGTAAAGTGCATGATGACGCTTTCTTGCGAGCGACGCGGAAGCTGCGCCAGAGGAGAAACGCACATTCCTGCCACGAAGCTTCGTAGGCCCAGGGCCTTGCCATGACGTCGAAACACGGCAAGCGCCCGCGCCGCATCCAACGCAGGGAAGTTTGTGGCATCCGGGGGCTTCACAGTCGCCATTTGGATGCTATGCGGTGTTGTGCTGCTAGAAGAAACAGCAGGTAGCGCGGGCGACGGCAGCAACATCAGTGCGGTGGCCAGCAACGACAGGCCTCCCATTTTTGCGTCTGTCAGAGCCGCCTCGTCGGTGAGGAGGCGATGCGCCAAACGAGAGTGAAGGGGGTGGTACGGAACATGCGAGTTACGCCGCAGCAACGCCTTCGTCACACGAACGACATCTGCCACCAAAAGTCCATCGAGAGATCTCTCCAATGCCGTTGCCGCCAAAGAGTACACCTCCCCCCAGTGGGGGGAGTTCACTGCCGCCAAGGCGCAAATGAAGCTCGCCGCGCTGTCAGCGCTTACCAATGCGCACGCCTCCGTGGAGGCAGCCGACACCACCATAGCGGCAGGTGGCACTACATTGGGGCCATCCTGGCTCGCGTGGTGGTACAGCACAGACGCCCGTTGCAGAATGGCCTCGACCAAAGGGAAATAATCCTCCTCGGCGCCCACAGTCATACAACCACCACCACCCACAATACGCAGGAGCTCTGAGCATTGATCCAAACTCATACAAAACAGGTGCGGCAACCATAAAGCTGTGAGTTGAGTTACAGCACTGCCTGAAACAGCGTAGCGGGAGTAGCACCGCGTCAACTCAAAAAGGACGTTCTCGTCAGTGACACTGGCGGGTAGAGTCGTCACCACTTGGGGCAAAAGAATTGTGTGCATGAGTCGGTGCAGTTGAAAGTGATTCCTCACGTGCAGTCGCCCAAGCAGCCTGGCAAAAGCGATAGCGGTTTCACCTTGAAACGGCGCCGTATCCGCCTCCACAGCGGTCGCCACAAAGTGTGCAGATAAAAGGTGATTTGTGGCGACGTGCTGCGGACCATTCAGCGGGGCTGCAGAGGTCTTGTAGCGCCGGAGCAGCTCTGTCCCTATTGGGCCAATGATATCGTCGGAAAGCGCACCGCACTGCTCCATGCACACCAATACCTGCACGAGTACGGACGGTGGCAGCAAATCACTTAACTCGCGAGTGCGCAGCGCAAGCGCCCGTCTGGCACTTTTGAACGCCCGCATGAGCGACAGTGAAGATCCAACCAAAGTGGCGGGTACTGTCTCATGGGCGTGGACTTGCTGCCCTTTGAAGACCCGCCGTGCATACGCATGAAGCCTCGGCAGACGACTCCAAAGTACTACGACGAGGGCCGCAGGAAACATGCGCTCCGCACGCATACCTGTAGCCTTTGACACCGCATCAACAACACTTAACGTCTCCGTGAGAGTCTGATACGCCTCTGCCACGGACGACACGGATGGCGGAGTTGTATCTGGATTCTGCAGCAGTACCGGCAAGGCCGCTGCCCTCAAGCGGCAGAACACGTCTGGCCACTTTTCAAGCGGCGCGTGGATTGCCACATCGTCAGTGGAGGAGCCGATCACTTTGGCCCCGCCAACGATGAGCAGCGACGCCGACTCGAGGGCCTGATGCATCGCCTCCAGCAGAGAGACCAGTGCTTTCTCACTGAAGCTTGGCTCCTCCAGGTTTCCATGTCCTACGTCATGTGTCGGAGAATTATTTTCTCCAGTGTGCAAGGAGTGCGCCGGAAGTTGCAACGCCACGCCGTTGCCAAGTGGAAAGCTCCCGCAGCCGCTGTTGGCAAAGGCATCCCCCCCGTTCTCCTCCTCCTTCACGTCCCCTTCCGCTAGTCTCCTCCCACGCAGCTGGCGCTGCTCCCCACCGTCCCGGTTGATGCGCCTGACGCCATCACGTGCCAAAAAAGCCGCCCCCATCGATGACGCGTGGCGAGACTGCGGGGGGAGACGCACGGCGGCGATGTGGCCTCTTCGTCCCGCCCCACACCCCCACAGCTGTGCCAGCAGCCAACGCATTAACTCCTTTCGCCCGCCCTCCCTCTAGGCCGCCACACTCAAGGGAAACCGGCGCAGAAGCAGGCCACACACAAAACAGGGGCAATCAATGTACTTTTGTTGTTGTTGTTGTTGTTTTTGTTCGTTTGGTGAGAACCAAACGAGCAACGCAAGAAAATGAAAGAAAGATAATAATACTAATATATATATATATATATATGAAAGCACATAGATGTTCCCGCCAATTTGTTTTCACCAACCATCACCTCCTCCTCCCCGCTCATGCACGCAGAGACGCTGGCAAAGCCGATGTCTGCTTGTGTCCCCTCCAGAGGCAAGAGGTTTGGAGCGAAAAAAGGCTACGACCACAGCAAATCAAAAACAGAAATCCAACGCCTGTTTGTTGCGCTGCCCACAAAAACCACAAAAGTAAAGGGCACATCCACGAATTCGATCCTGCCTCACACCAAAACCCCAACACACACCGTCGCCTTCATGTGTACCTCGTCGGAGAGCCTGTCATACCGCCACACTACGTGACATGAGCGCCTCAGCAGAGACATGCACATTGGCAGAGCTGTACCGCACGGTGAACGTTAGTCCCCCTCCGCTGCACCAACGCGTAAAGGCATCTGCATGACCACTTGTAGCAAAGATCTCTTCAATGGTGGAGCCAACGATGTGGGCCCTTAACGGGTTGTTTTTCTTGTAGAGAAGGTAAACCTCGGCGCCATCCTCAAAACGCACCCACAATGTTCCGTCGGACCACGGGCCCTCCTGAGGCTCACCTGCGTCACGCACGACGGTGGGGAGGTCAATTTGCTCCTCAACAGCCGCCAGCACGTCTTGTGGCTGCATGTGAGACGTGAGCAGCAGGACAGGTCGCGGGGCGCAAACGGGGCATGCAGGATTGGGAGAGAGCTCCGTCACGTACGATGTCAACCCCCCACAGTCCGCAGCGCCGTTGAAGTAGGAAAAGCACTGCATCGATGGAGCAACGCCTGTCAAGAGCTTAATAAGCTCGAGAGACGCCTGGCCTGCCACCAAGGCGTTGGTGAAGCCGACCGCTGGCACAACGTTCTTCACGACTCCAAGGACAAAATAAAAGTCGATGTCAGGCCCCATGATACAAAAGAGTTCCTTGCGCTTCTGTGCTTCACTGCGGATCCACTCAATGTGTGCCGCGTTGTCGCTGTCAAGTGTCTCCCCGGGACGTAGTACGTTCCACAGCCGGAACTGCACATAAAGCACGCAGTGCGCTGGAGAACGAGGCACATTCTCCAAGGTGCAGAACGGCACCGTCTTCCGCGGCGGGTAAATGTCAAGGTCACACTCAATGCAGGCCGTCGTTCCCGTGTCTAAACGAATAACGCGACAGGAGGCCTCATACCCTTCCGTGCCGGTGTCAATAAACGGAATCGAACTGGTAATGCGTTTCTCCTTGTTTCCCGTCGATCCCTCCCTCGTGACATCCACAATCTCCCAGACGGCAAGTTCCGCAATCTTCTGATTCATCCATCGTCGTGCGGCCACGGAGTCCACCGCCAAAATAACAACATGAAACTGTCGATAAAAGCCGTCATGTTGGTCCTCAAGGCGTCCAAACACGGCATTCACCCTCACACCCGGACAACGCCGCTCCACAAACGCTGCAGCCACCTCCGCCTTACTGCGCCCAATGTCCGCCTCCGAAAAAAGAAACTGGCGGTTCAGATTGGAGAGTTCGATGGTGTCCATGTCCACGACAGTGATGTCCGTAAACCCGCTCAGTGCCAACGTGTGCAGTACCTCACAGCCAATTCCGCCCGCACCCACTAAGAGGAGACGCACCTCGTCCCAGGTGGTGTTCTCCGCGTTGTATCCTGCCACGGCGAAGGCAGGGGGAGGAGACCGCCGCACAAGATGCTGCAACCCACGTTCATTGGTTGTGAAGGGCGTGCGCAAGCCGACACCTGACATAACTGCTGCCCTCCCCGCCCACCCAAACTACCCCTTACTTTTCGCGTTTTGCTTCTGCCCGCCACTTACTCCCCCCGCTGTTGCTTTTTGGGTTGGCGGCCTTCACCTCCTGCGCGCGGTGGTCTCATGAAAGTAAACCTATCCGCACGAAAGAAGCGAAAAAGCAGCGCATGTACACGACAATAAAAAAAAAAACAGGCGAGAGCCTGACGCTTCTCCCCAGCAACCTGCTGGTCACACGCAGCAGCGCCGCAAGATATACAACAAGCATAAATTCACCTACGTTTTTATGGTATCAGTGGGAAAAATCCCCTGACGGCAGTAGCACTGCCGAAAAAGAAAAGATGGGCAGTAACACGCAGACAAAACAAAAGCAAAACGTGCGCATACATGAAAAGAATTGTGCAATAAAGAAGTAAGCGAGTGCGTAGGCACAAGAGGTAGGAACAATTGGCAACCCTCCCGTGCTAGCTATGCGTACCCCCCCCCCCCCCCTCTCTACGCACGCAGCCAAGTAGGCACATTACTGCCTAGAAACTCGCAAGCTCTCCGTTCCTTCTGAACATGTTGCATCATTCAAGTAAAAATACAAAAATGAGGAAAAAGAGGAAGAAGTGAAAAGAAATAAACATCAAATAAAATTGCGGTGAGGAAAACACTTGAAGTAAAACGGATTTTTCGTCATGTCTCTGTTTCCTCTCCAGATACTCTGCCCCACGGGTTTCTAACCACCTTTCCCTGTAGTCCGGAGACAGGTAATCGCACGTGCATCCCTCGTTTATTGTATGCACCTACTGAAGTTATGGTCACTTCGACTGTGAAGTAGCTTTGGTTAGCCACGCGGAACCCACACCCCTCACTAGTGGGGCGTCGGCAACCCCGGATACTTGTCGCCTGTTCTCCACAATCTCACGAACACGCTGCGGCCGCCGTGGTGCACCATGGCTGCCCCTTGACGGCTGATGGTTCATCTCAGCGACAAAGTGCAGGTAGGCCTCTCGGGCAAGCACCCCACCCGAGTAGTTCCCGTAAAAGGCCTCGGTCAACTGCTTGTAGTGAAGCGTTGGTCCAGAAGAGACAGACGTGCCTCCGGCGTCTCGCCACCTCGTTGTCGGAGAGGCAACGCCACAACTAGCTGCCCCATCTGAAACGGCGACGTCACGGTGAGCATCCGACGCATTGTGCTCCGGCCGCCACGCAACAGGCTCCTCACCCTGTCGCGCAACAATCCGACCGTTCCGTAGCAACAATGCTCTCTTCCTTAGGTCCTTGATTGAGTCTGGACGCGCAAGTACAAGAGCGCTACTGGTGCTTCTGCTTCTGCCAGCATCGACACCCCGTCCACTAAACGGCACCGCTGGAGGCGGATGCAACAACGCATCACCTTCCAACGGCATCAGGCCCGGTTCAGTTATTGGGAAGGGCAGAGTTTCAGACCTAACTCCCGGGCTCCCCGACAACGCCTCAGCAAGGCTACGAGACGAGACATCCACCACATGCTGCGAGGCACGATGACTAGGATTATAGGACTGGGACCGCCCATTGAGGGGAGCAGTCCCCCTATACGCGGAGGCTTGTATACGCCGACGCGGTCGATCCGCTCTCTCCAACAGACGTGCGGTATTAACCACTGCTTGCCCAACCTCCGCATGATACTCCACGCGTCCACCCGGTGTGCAGCTCAGCGGATCGTAGATCGTGGCAACCCCTCTGTCACTCGGAACAGTGCAACCTCGGGACGCTAGAGAGCGGCGCAGCCCACCAGACCTCGAGGGCGGATGCAACGCCGACACGCTGCCGTTTATACTTCTACTACCCCTCCATCTCTTAGGATCCAGTGCTTCTGCCCCACTTGCCCGGTTGGTCGGGTCCGCGGGGCAAAGAAAATGATGCATCCAGGCTCCCGCGTTGCCGCACGGCCGCTTGTCATCGTCGCCTTCGCAAACTACTACAGGTACGGATGAACCGCGATTCCCATGGATCATCGCGGCAGGCCAAAAACACCACGGCAAGAAGTCACTGCAACGTCGTCACTGAAGCGGCGGGGCGGTGAACACCTCTAACCCCCCCACCCCTCCACAAACGGACGTCAGAAGAGAAAGCGTAGAAAAAGTGGGAATACCCACCGCTGGCCAAGGCACAGCCCCCGTTCACCTACAAAAGAGGGAGAGAATGCAATCATGGAGGTCACACTTTGCCTCATGGCGCGCTCCGCATCCCACATATATATATATATATATATATATATACAGACAGCACAC